TACCATTGAAAAGTTACAAACCATGAACGAAACTCAGCCGCCAATAGGCCATTCACATAGCACATGGAATTATGGTGCATATTCGGGTTATGAACGTGACTATCATTTGTTGGTTCGAAGCTTCGGAGAATTCCTGTTTCCATATTATAGCAAATGTATGAGAAAAATTATAGAATTCATTTATACATAATTTTTGATATGTAACAAATATTTGTTTCTTATTATTTATTCGCTACCAACCAGTTTAATAATGGAATAAAAATTAAAAAATATTTTGTAACACATAATTTGCGCTAATTCACACATTAATTTATGGCAAACATTAGGCTTGCGCAAACTTTATATAGTTCATTCGCACTCATTGTGAATGATTAGTAGAATAAGAAGTTTATATCGAGTTGAAAATTGTGCATGATTTATATTGCCTAACTGCAAAGTTTTAATAAAAAACAGCAAAATTTTATAAAGTTTCACAAACTATCTTTTTGTAAATGCCACCAAAGTTGTGTGGCAAAACTGTGTTGAAAATTTTCGCTCGATGTATAGACAAGTCAGCTGTTTGGGCCAACAAATCAGCCGCTGCTAGTCTGCAACCAATTATATTTTCAATCAGCTTAGAACAACTATCGTTATTAGCAAAGATAACTATTAAATACGTACTGCAAAACTTTGACAATTGTTTAAAATCGGCGGCAGTGACTTATAAGGTCTTTGGTCTCGTTATCCAGTAAATTTCCAGTTGAGTTTTATACGATGGCAGACAACGCAGATAACAGAGGTGATACATCTGCCCAACCACCCTCGGCTCCCCCAGAACCACAACAACAGCAACAACAATCGCAACCACCGCCACAGCCAGGCGTAAATAATCCCAATATCAATGCTAATGTGCCAAACTTTGCTAATGTTTGGAATGTGGATCTAACAGCAAATCCATTCAATTTTAACAACAATCGAAATCGTGGCGGACAAGTAAGTACTTTTCGCTTGAAAGTGTGTAAATATTGATCAATATAAGTGAATTAGTTAATTTTTGTAATATGTGAGAACAATATCATTCTAGACTCCTAAGTTTTAATAAAATAACAGGGACTTAAATTTTTTAAAGCATTAAACGCGTTTAGGACCAAAACAAGTTGTGAAAAATTGCCAATCATTCCAATTTTCTAATATGTCTATGTATATTTGTATATATGTATGTGTGTCCAGTAAAATTCACACTTTTCTACTCAGAAAAATAGCTTTATCATTAAATTATACGATATATAATTATACGTATATAATACAAATATATTTCTACAAGTATAAGCAGCTGTTAAATAAAAAAAAAGTATATAATTTATTTTCGTTATATTATATTTGCGCGCTAATTTGGTTAAGTCAAACTAATTTTAACCTAATTGTTTCTATTTTTTTAGAATAACCTGATGAACGTACGGGATCGCCTCTTTCACGCCATTTACTTCAAGATTGCTCTTATGTATGCACAAATATTTCCCAAGTAAGTATGCAGAAACTTCGCTAGTAATATTTACAGCTTTCTAATTGTATTTGTTAATTATTAATATATTTACGTTGTTTATTGCTAAGGCCTCTCCAACGAGTTTTGGAATATTTCATATTGTTCAAGGCATTATTATTCTTCTTCGCCTTGGTATACATTCACTTGGCATTTATTAAGAATCCCGCTACTTGTCTGCAAAATGTCAAAGATTGGCCACGCGATGGAGTGTTGAGGTATGCAGCATCAAAACTTTATTGATAATAAGCAATAAATAATATATAATAAACTAATATTTATAAATATTCTTTTGTGTAGAGTTGAAGTCATACCGAATTTGGAGAAACAGCGTGATTTGTTGTCGAAGACGAAAGCCAATGAGCAGTTAATACGTTACTTGCAAAATTACTAGTAAGCAAATTTTATACCTTCCGCTTTACAATAATATTAGTTCTTCTCCGTACGCTAGTCATTATGGCATTGGTCCGCAAACTAAAGTCAATCATGATCGCCTAAAGCAATATGAACGTACATTGACACGTTCCGGTTATCAATTACGGCCCACATTCACCTATTCAAATGAAACCTTAATCTATTATTTTAAAACGGAGGCCATAACTGGGCAGGTAGTTGAAACTAAGATCACCGAGCAGGTGGAGAAGTCTTATAGTGACGATGGTAAACGTTCTTAACGTGGTTAATTTTATAAAATGTAATAAGTCAGCTTTCAGATGAACAGTATATTGTGGAATATTCATTAGAATACGGGCATTTACGTCTTTCATCAGCTACACGTAAACGTCTGAAGATTCCAGTACGTGTAGTGCAATTGGATCCGATGACTGATAAATGTTTTGGTGATAAATTTAGCAAATTTTTACTGAAACAGCTGTTGGGGTGAGTGTTCTAATATAAATGTTTTTTAATAACGAAATAAATCTTTTTTTTTTTAATATTATTATAGTTATGATGATCTACTTATGTCCTCGGTGCGTGTGATTGCCGAAAAAGAAGATAATAAAGGTTATCTGCGTAATGTCATAACCGGCGAGCATTATCGTTTTGTTTCAATGTGGTGGGCAGCATGGAGTTCGTACCTAACGGCATTTTTTGTAATGGTGCTTTTTGTAAGTGAAATACCAAGCTTTTGCGCCATCATTAATAAATCAAATATTTAACATATTTATCTCTTCATTTCCAGACATTTTCTATTTCTATGCTTTTGCGCTTCTCGCATCATCAAATATTCGTCTTCATCGGTAAGTTGTTTGCTTTTGCCGCCATACGTTGATTTTGCAGTTATGGTTTTACATTTACAGTTGATCTTTTACAAATGCTGGAATTCAATGTAACCGCGCGTTTTCCTATTGCTCCACTGCTAACTGTAATCTTAGCACTCGTTGGTAAGCAAATGCACTAAAGTCCGCTTTGTTTGTTATTGTAAAATTATAAATAAAGTATATTACTATTAATGCTTTTTCGTTTCTTCTTCAAGGCATGGAATCAATAATGTCTGAGTTCTTTAACGATACAACAACTGCATTCTATATAATATTGATTGTTTGGGTGGCAGATCAGTACGATGCAATATGCTGCCATACGAGTATTACCAAACGCCATTGGTTAAGGTAAGTGCACTGGCAATTATTTATATTATATATTTATATAATGATTATGGAATAGCGCTCAATATTGACTTTTCGCTCATATTTTACTTTGAAGAGATCAAAGTATTAACTGAGTTGTAGTATGTCACCGTTGTCATCAGTTTACTATTTAGAAATTCCTATAATTATTATTATCGGACTACTATATCATATAGCTGCCATACAAACAAAACGTTCAAATACATATAATTGTATAGACAACTTTTTCATTTGACGAGATATCTTTACGAAATTTAACATGTATTATTATCGAAGGCAACGAGAAAAATCTACGAAGAAAAATTTCAGAGCGGACTATGGCAATTATATGCTATACTGTTCCGGCTCCTTGGAGAGCAAATTATGTGTGCGAAATTTCAGATCGATACCTCAAGAACTAAGGGACTTCTTTGCGACGGACATGGCTAAAACGACTGAGCTCGTTACGCTGATCGTAGTATGTAGATATGTTATAGGGCCTTCGACGTTTCCTTTTAGCAAATTTAATATATCTTGTTCAGGGTATAAAAATGATCATGACGTACTAAACTTATGTCAGGGTCAAGATATCCGTTAGAACAACAATAAATGTTTACCACGATCTACGTAATTGAAACATCCGAATTTATATTTAACCACAGACTGGAGAAAGATTTCAGCGACCACAACAACTACCGAAGTGATCCATTTTATATCTGTCAACACCAAAAATCATAAAAGAATAGTATAAATAGAGGTTTGTACCGCGATCTGAGATCTCAGAAACGTCGGAAACCATATTAAATCTATATCTAAATTATCAGCGTGACAAGCTGAGTCGCTGAGCCATGTCCGCTGTCTGTATATAGGCGAACTAGTCCTTTAGTTTATGAGATATCAATCTGGAAATTTTCACACATCTTTTACTCTCCAATAAGCTGCGCATTTGTCGGAACCGCCGATATCAAACTACTATAGCATATAGCTGTCATACAAACTGAACGATCGGAATCAAGTTCTTGTAAGGAATCTTTTATGTTGTTGTTGTTGTAGCGGCAGAATTCTGCCAAGTTGACAGTCCTTGGCCGGAATAAATCCGGGTCCGTTCCGGTTACGTAGACCCGATTGTCGTGGGAATCTTTTATATTTGTGAAGGGTTATATACTTGTAGCTTCGGTGCAACCGAAGTTAACGTGTTTCCTTGTTATTTTTATAAATCTGACTTTTTTCGTCTGTGGGTCAAAACATCAGCTGAAACTAAACTATGACGACTTCAATATTGTTTTAGCAAATAAAATATAAGCCTTAAAGTATATTGGTATTTATTACTAAAAATATAATCTTAAGTGTTTGTACTCTTACATAGTTATTATTGACGTCAACTACATATATACATACGTCTATTTCATATGTATTGTATACCATATGTATGTATGTGCATATCTCGCATACTTTATTCCGTAAAGTAATGACATGTGATATTGCTGCGGTAATTTGATAGGGGTGGCAAAGTCAGAAACCATAATCTCAAGTGGTATGAACCAATATTATATGTGTATTACCATGTATGTATGTATGCTGATGTGGATAAATTATTTGCGTCCATAATCTTACCCTTTTTCTAGCAATCGACAGCTGTATTGGTAAATATTTGGCCAACAACCTGTCATTACATGCCTTCTTACTCCCCCTTAATCCATGGAAATTTTGCGCATTCTTCTATAAATCGGAATTTAAATATTTTTAACTGATAAACTGTGATTTTAAAATATTCTTCGTTACTATTTGCACTGTTGATGCCTTTAGGCTATTTATAAAATATTTTATATTGTTTTTGTTGCTATAATGTTATGCACATACATAAATACACATGTATTTTCTTGTTCCGTTATTGGTGGTATTTTTAGTTTTATAAGAATTTAATGGATTTTTTTCTTCTAAAAGCGGAGACTGTCGTAAATTCTTTTCTAATGTAGGTATTTAGGTGAGTTGATTGGTATTTCCTATAAGGTTTTTAAAAGAAATTTTTGTGTGGCTATTGAATTTTAATCAGGATTGTAGCAACACAAACAAAATAAAACGTAAACTTCGGTTGTACCGAAGCTATATTACGCTTCACAAATACAAAATATTCCTACAGGAATTTGATTTTGATTGGTTAGTTTGTATGGCAGCTATATGTTATAGTGGTCCGATCAGAAAAATTTCTTTGGAAATTACACCATTGCTTTGGACAATAATACATGCTAAATTTCGTTATGATATCTCGTCAAATGAAAAATTTTTCCATACAAGCATTTTATTCCGATGGTTCTGTGTGTATGACAGCTATATGCTATAGTAGTTCGATATCGGCGGATCCGACAAATGAGCAGCTTCTTGGGGAGTAAAAGATGTGTAAAAATTTCCACATCGATGTATCAAAAACTGAGGGACTGGTTTGCATACTATATACAGACAGACAGACTGACGGACATACCTAAATCGACTCAGCTCATAATGCCAACCATTTATATATATATTTTATATTGTCTTCGACTTTTTCTTCGGGATGTTACAAACTTCGTGGCAAACTTAATTTGTACAGGGTATAAAAAAACACCAGAAATTATTCTCCAAATAGTTTTGGGTAACATTTTGTATCTACTCCGGTCTGAACCAGCTGACTGGAACCTTAAAAATTATCGTCTCGACTCTTATTGGCGGTTGTAACTCTTATTGGCGGTTGTAACAAAGCATTGTGAAGACAGAAGAGTTTTTGGATTCCATATTTTGGTCAAAAGCATTTTTAGGGTTTGGCACTCGCAATGTAAAAATGTAATTGCGATGAAAGGAACACGAAAGTTTCGGTCTCTTATGATTCCCGTGCTATTATGCGTTACAGAAATATGAACGATGATGAGTCGATATGAGAAAGCAACTGTTCTCCGCAAGGTCTGTGGAGACGTCCGAGTGAGCGATGAGTACGGAAGAATATGTAAACACGGACTGTATGTGTATGAGTCTACGGTGACATGGGTATAGTTAAGCGCATAAAAATCCAACGAATGCGGTTATGCCATTTCATGCGCATGGGAAGCGATGCTTAAGCGAAAAGCTGCTTCGATTCTAGACCCATGGATGGTCAACGGAAGCACCCTCCCACGCATCCAATGAGAGAACCAAGTGCATAGAGACCTGTTTGCACTTGGAATGTATAACTGTCGTGACCTCGCAAAGTAAAGCAAAATTTGTGTTCTCGGCTCAGACCGACACACGGTTGTAGTGCCACAGAAGAAGAAGAGAAATTATTCTAGAATCTATGGTAGTCCGATCCCGGATCCGATGGTTTGTGATTATATTCAGTTTTTAGCTGATATAACATGAATGTATTTTGGCTGATGGGTTATTGTTTTTATGCCGCTATAACAACAATAACAATACAATAAATGGTGATTTAAACTGCGAATTACGGTTTCTCTTAGTCCACTAGTAGATGGCTCTGTACGCTACGTAAAATGAATTTCAGGGTTCATTTTGTTTATGGATATATCTATTTCTTTTTTTGTTTTGTTTTTAGCGCTTAGATTTATAATCTTAGAACTGGAGCCCTAGAACAGCCAGAGTTTGATGCAAAACATTCGTATTTCAGAAAAAAAAATAACATTTAATAAATGGCAAGCAATGCGGGGGAAAAAAATATTGCTCGTCCAATATACGACAGTTCGGTCTACGTACGCACTAAAAATAGAATTATTCGAATCTTTGCTTGAGAATCTGTTTTGGTTCATAAATAAAAATTCCTATGTGGGAAGTCATTTCTATTGAAGCTTTTCAGGCTTCTACAGGGTACACAGCTAACTCCTTATCGCTCTAACAATCCGACGAGCAACTCTTATGCGTAGGCCGCGCACTTGGCCAAAGTGGGACACAGTACTTAAATATTATTTTACCCTTTGTTATAAATCTCCCATTTAAATCTTTTTGACTCCCTTAATTGGATAGCATTTAACCGTTCCGATGACCAGTTTGCTTTCACTTTTATTTGAACGGCGCTTGAAAAGGGAAGCCCCAATAAAGTGCGTTTTTGCCTTTTATTATTTTGTGATTAGATAAACATGTTTATTTTGAAATTCTCAAATAATTTTGTACGTACGTATGTCGCTTGCTTACTAGAAGACTGTCACCATTGAAAGTGTTTAAAAGTGTTTAAAAGTGATAAAAATTATATTTAAAAATTTAATTTCGGCAAACTCTTTCAGCGTGGAAAGTAAACTAAATGAACGTGAAATTCGAGTTCAAATGTGTTTGTGTGATGAACTCAAGTTTAAGTTGGTGTTTACGAACAACTCTGAAGTGTTTATGAAATTCTGAGTTTGACTTATTGTTTTTAAAGTGTTATTGCCCTAGGAACAAGTAAAATTGATCGATAGAGCTACTGAAGTTAGTTGAACTGAGTTAAATACCTTTTCGTACTGTTCGTTGATTTTCAATGCTGGTTCTATTCTAAAAAGTTTTGAAATATTTCAATTAAAATTTGATGGCGTTGCCACCCGATATAAAAACAAGAAAAAACGTTAACATCGGTTGCACCTCACGAATAAAATACTTTCAATACAAGAACTTGATTTTGATCGATCAGGCTGCCATAAGAGCTATAATCTATAGCGATCTGAAAATTTTTTCGAAACTTATAGCATTGCCTAGGACAATATTCTATGCTTAATTTCGCAAAAATATCTCGTCAAATAAAGAAGTTTTACATATAAGAACTTGATTCCGATCGTACAGTTTGTATGGCAGCTCATCACGCTGATCATTTATATACACATGTTATAGGGTCTCAGACGTTTCCTTTTGGGTGTTAAAAACTTCGTATACCCTGTTGAGGGTATAAACATATTGCAATACAATTAATAATAATATGAGGTTTAGAAAGACTTGCTGTCGAAAAAGTTTGTGTAAAGGGTTGCCACTTGATTAAATTTATTTTCGTTTCATTTTTATTAAAATCAATTGAATAT